CTTAACGAAAATTATCAGTTAAGTTAACAGTCTGAGCATAGTCAATAGTAATTGTTTATATTATTTTCAGTTTGATCAGGCATCAGCACTACCGTTCAGTTCAACAGTTCAAGTGGGGACTCAGACTACGTACTACATTGATTATAATTACCGTACCATGTTTGAGGTATGTATTTCAGTTGAGGTATCCGCTCGGAATGGTCGCCGGTCCATTCTGGGTTCTAGTGGCCCTAGTCTGCCCACTAGAGTGTGCACATGGTGTCCGGCTTTGCCGGCAGATGAGGTAACGGTCAGGGTCACTTTTGAGTGACGATTTCAGGGTCACTTTTGAGTGACGATTTCAGGGTCACGGTTGCGTGACGATTTCAGTTTTTACCGGCTTGAGGTTGAGGTTATATATTGATATCATGATGTTGTTATTATTTTCGATGTTTTACATTAGTATGAGTTTCCACGGAGCACAGTGCCATAGTGCTCACTCCCCAATTTTATCATGTTTTTCAGGTCAGGATGTCGGGTCGGGAGCGTGACGTGGTGTGACGGGGACTTCAGGATATTTATATTTTGGACTGTATAATTATTGACCGCGCGTCGCGACGCGGCAAATTTAAATTTATAAAGTTGTCCTTGACTAACCTCTACTAACTAGTAGTAGCGGCGAGTAAGGGTCGATCCCACGAGGAGCAGGAACTAAGTTGTGAGATTCTCGTATTAATCGAATTAAACTAAGAAAGCAAATAAAGATGGGGGGATTGATTTTATAAAAATAACAAAAGAAAATAAAATAAAAATCAAATAAAATGAGAGAAGTCCAGTTTTCGGTTCAGTTATCACCCAAATCTAAATCTACCGTTAATTAATTTCGACGCTTTCTTTAAATTACTAACGAATTACCAACCCTAGCTAACAACAAGCTCTGTTAACCGAATTTTCCCTTACTGAATATTTAATCGAAATAGGCTCTTCGATTAAACCTAACCAGTGGACAACCTAGAATAAGCTCTCTAGATTTAGTACACTAGCAGCATTAATCTCTAGGAAAATAGATCAGTCTAAGCAATGGACGCGTAAGCTCGGACCATTTAACTTATGCTCATGTTACCCTAAGGATGCACGACCCCTAGTTTACTACTAACGAAACGAGACAATAACAATTACGGATTAAAGTCTCGAATCTAGCAATTAAACTATAAACATTCAATGTAGCTGGCCAAACTAAATCAAACATCATAATTCATAAACACTAAACACAGATAACGTGAATCAACTCATCAACAAAAATAAATACGGCGTCTCAATTAACCAACGATAGAAATAAATCTTTCAATCCATAGACAAATCAAAGTTAGGGTTCAAACATCCCCTCAAACTGAATAAAAATCCTAGCCTAACATACTAGTAAAATAAATAAAAAAGATAAAAAGAGAGATTAGTTATCTCCCTCGTGTGCGCGGCTTCCCTCCGCGTAGGTGATCTTCTCTCTCGGCGGTTCTGTTTCTTTTCTGTCCGTGCCTTTTTCTTTTTTTTTTTTCTCCTCTTCTCCCGTAAAAAATAATATCCAGCCAATCAATTTAACACCCAAAGTCCTTTGGAAATCAACTACTCTCAATTGTGGGTCCGTAGAAAATATGAAACCAAATCAATAGCCTTAAACTCCTTTCACTCACGTATTCCACTTTCAACATTCATTCATGAACAATTGGGCTTTATTCCCATCCGACCCACATTAAATTTAGGCATTTTGGGCTTTGATTAATACTGTATTGGATCGCCTTGATTAGTGCTCATGTGAACTCTCGTACGTTGTTTCACGTACACAAAATACTGCAATGAGCTGAAAATAAACATAAAACTATCAATGTATATGAATCCATCCAAATAATAAATAAGTCAAAAAATATAAATGTGCAAATAAATAAAACATATAAGAATGCACTATTAAATATATAAAACATACACATTTTCCGACCTATCAATTATGATTATGACTTACGCTTCCGCTTACGATACCTTAATGACTTATGATGTTTTGATGTCTTTTGACGTACTCGTTTGACGAACTTATTACTTTTGACGAGCTTTTGAGAAACTTATGCTTTAAGTAACCGGACGATTTTAATAAATTAAAACAACGGTTTTCTAAGTTAAGTCACGATTTTTAAAGGTAGCACCCCGAATCAGTTTTCGCAAGGTAAAATGGTGTTATTTTAAATAACTTTGCGAAATTTGCGCTACTCTGATTTTACGATAAGGAGGGGTGTTACAACTCAAGCATGGTAAATCTCATTTACATGGGTTTATATTATGTATTTGACTCCTCTCAGAATTTTTTTTGATGAAAAATGGCCGGAAATACTAGCCCTACTAAAGGCACAAAAATAGAAAAGAAAATGGAAATTTTTCTCTGTTTGCCTAACATTTTATGTCGAAATTCTACTTTGCTAGTTAGATAGTTTTATGACGTTATGAGAATTTTATCGACACTTTTGTTTGTGCAGGCAGATCCTGGATCCATGTGAAGTCTAAAATTAAGAAGGAATATCCAACCATTCAGTATACATCATGGACAGTACGTGATAGCAAATAGTCTCGCTTTTAATATCCGCTACATACGGAAGAACTTATATTTACATTTTCCCGCTTTTTTAATGCAGTTTTGGCCTGTGGTTGGATGGGTAAATCATCAATATGTGCCTTTGCAGTTCCGAGTTATTGTCCAAAGTGTCGTTGCATGTTTCTGGTACGTTATTTATCGTTAAACTTTAGGGTCAATCACTAATATACACCTAATACTTTTTTGTTTGTTTGCTTATGATTTTGAGAAACCATTGGAATCAAGGAAAATGCTACGGTCCCGTTACGGAACTATTCCGTCGGGGTTTGTAACCGTTAAATCATCTATTCCAGACGGTTCCATGATGATCTAACGGTTACGAACCCCGACGGAATGGTTCCGTAACGGCTCCCATCAATCAATGGTA